GAAATTAGGTTCTTTCTCAACTCTGATACACGCCTAACGTCATCTAAAATCTTCACCACACCATCGAACATTTTAAATTTTATGGACCACATTCCAATGACCTTACATGATGTATCATTACCCATCAGAGCAAATCCAAAATTACCCGAACTATATGAATCAAACCAATCTCGATAGGGATACATGTGATATGAACAAATTAAATCAAGTACCCAAGAGTCATGTAATATGTCAAAATAACCTGCAGAAATTGGTAGCATGTCTCCATCTCCAGAATCTGAATATCCTTTTACAACACTAGTTGAATTTGAAGACCCATCACCTTTTTTTTCATTACTCTACTTTAGATGGTCCTTCTTAAAGTAACCCATCTGATGACACTTGGAGGAAATCACATGAGCCATGTTGGCCTACAACCAACGAAAATTGCGCTCTGCTCCCTCACTCCACTTTGCATTGCTCCGATATCGACTTATTCTTCTAGTAAACATGTGGTCAACAACCAACGAAAATTGCGCTCTGCTCCCTCACTCCACTTTGCATTGCTCCGATATCGACTTATTCTTCTAGTAAACATGTGGTCAACTGTACATGACTCACATGCACAAAGTTCTTTTGCCTACCCCCACCTTCGACATCACCTAAATTTCGACACTAACTAGGTCATAGTAGTAAAATACATAATTTGTAAGTAAAGATCACAAATTTAATCGCAAATTACATGTTTTTATAGATCATAAATTATTTATTGATCACAAATTATCGAATTAACTAGTCAAAATCATTTTCCATCTCACCCCCCATCCCCAATCCACAACATCGGCACCACCCAAATCGTCAGCACCACTTTAAATCTACTACAACCACCACTTTCTCAAATCCACCACCATCTCCACATTTAATCCACTCTCACACAACTTGCACCTCGAATCTACACTCAGCACCACCTCTCCCCACTATACCTCATAGTTAACATTGTCCCCACCACCACCACCTCCATCGCCTTCACCATCAACATACTGCAACGCCATTGTAGGACTATAATAAACAATCAATGCAGGAACACTGAGGCGACATAGATGCGCTCAACTAGACACAGAGTTTGGTCTGATTGATAAAGACCC